AAAGATGGTAATTACATGATGGTTATGGAGTATGCAAAGCAAGGAAGTCTCCGAAAATTATTAGATAGTAAATATAACGAATTAGATTGGGCTTCTAAAAGTAGCCAACTTATATTTCATAACTTATGGGCTTAATACAATTCACAAAGCCAAATTAGTGCATAAAGATTTCATTCCGGAAATATAGTTAATCGAAATATGATTAGTTCTTACATTACTGATTTTGGCTTATGCAAGCCAGTGTTACAAGACTCAAATCCTAAAGAACTTTTTGGTGTGCTTCCCTATATTGCTCCTGAAGTATTATATACAAATGGAAAGGAATACACGAAAATCAGGCATTTATTCTTTTGGAATAATTATGTCAGAAGTCTTTACTGGATATCCACAATATCATGATATTTAGGGCTTGCATTCAAGATTTGTAAAGGTCTCAGACCTAAAATTAGATTCGAAGTTCCTCAACTACTTTTGGATCTGATGAATAAATGCTTAGATGCAGAACCTCAAAAACGACCAACTGCTGAAAAATTGTCTAATAAGCTGAATTTTTTCTAAAGATTTGAAAAATAAAAAAACTGAATTATGTAAACAAATTAAAGAAATTAAAGAATCAAGCAAAAATTCCTCAACATATGATCAAGCTAAGTCGGCACGACTTGACTATCAAACGGATCCGCAAGCTATTTATGCGAGTCGATTTTTGCATTTTCCAAAATTTCCTAAACCAGGTAATAATATTTTTTTAAAATAGTAATATGTATATTCATTATTATATAATTGTAAAATTTATTTGATTTTGTGAATATAGTAAATTCAAGTAACGATAAAAGTAAACCTATTGATCCTGTTGAAATTCCCGATAGTGATAGTGAGCAATATATTTAATTTACATGCAATTAAACAAAATTTATCACTTATTTTTATATTGATATTTAGATGAATGAATTGGTGCAAAATTTATATAAAAATACAGTTATTCTATATATTACATTTCTATACAGTTATATATCATATTTTATTCACACATGTTATTATTCTGTATTTAGCAATGCTTTATAGTTATTTATAAATGAATAATTATAATTGGCTCATACAAAATATATGTGTTATCATAAAGAAAGGCTAAATAAATAAAGTTGAAAACTGAAATTAGATTTAGGTTATAGTATTGGCTAGGTTTGGATCCGGGTCAACCCAACCTCATCACAATATTGTGTATGGTGAAGCGTTTATATCATGTGACCCGAACTTTGAATAGGCCACTTGGCTGTTCTATGGATCTAATTTTTTCTAATAGATCATACAAGTAACTCTCGATATAAGAAACCTTCAATATAAGAAACTCTCGACATAAGAAAGATTTTGCAAATCCCAATTAAAAATTTTATAATAAAAAGCTTTCGATATAAGGAAATCTCGATATAAGAAAGGATTTGACTTGACCTGGCAACTTTCTTATATCAAGATTCACTTGTATTACATATTATTTTTATATTGTATAATATAACAAATGTGATGCCACGAAAGATATTAAAAGCATTCTAATCTATTCCAACGTTGTTGACCGAATTGCCATTAGATTCTTACTAATTTAAAGCAGCGATGATTAATCCGGTTTAAATATATTAAATATATCCAGATTATAATAATCATTATCTATTTTTAATTATGATAAAAACATTTGTCATCCCTATTATCATTTGGTCTAAAGCTTACAAGTAAACTGCTTAATTTCCAAGACCTTTATCTGTAAAATTGCTAAACATTAACCGGGTCACTCAGATTATTTTTACTATTCTACCAGGATAATTATAATCACTAATTACTATATCTTTTTATTGTATTTTTGTCACGTGGCATTAGTTGCTCAATTTGCGTGAATATGTTTACTTTTGCACGTTATATTTTGGTATTTACGTGTATTACATTATACGAAAATTATCTTTGAGAAAAAATGATTGGTGTGAACTGAGTTCACAATGTGATTTTTTAACACATGTAATTTTTATTAGCTCAAGTTTTGAATCTTGTATAACATTCCAAGATTAATTTATTGGAAGAATTGAATTACAAGCTATAGTTAAGAATGCTAAACTTATAAAATGTTAAAATCAAAGCTGAAAATGTAAATTAAACCAAAGTTTTAGAAGAACATGAAGCTATATTCATGCACTAGAGTGGAGAGATTAAGAAAAGGGCAACCTTAACCTTAGATGACGATATCAAGGAAATCAAATAAATTTGGCTAACATTAATGCTTTTTGTGAAGCGAATTCTAGCAATACTCCTAAGCGAAAAAATATACCTGATAACTCACCTATTATAATGTATACCATGAATTTTCTTCTTCATACTCTATATCATCTATTCATACATAGCCTAAATCACAAAAAATAAAGAGGTCGATGAATTCATCGATTCAAAAAAAATAAAGGATTAGTAGTGAGATATAGCAAAGAAATAGTAAGAAGTTTAAACATGTGTCAGCTGAAATTCGATCCCAGGACTCAATTTGAAATATTCTTATTCTTCTGAGCAAAAATCATGTAAAGAAAAATTCCAAGAAATTTTCGCGAAACGTGACAATTAGCAAAAAAAAAAAAACTTTCAACGTGATGCATATTCAAAGTCCACTATAATTAGTAATCGTAATAGAGAACTTTAAATATGCATCATGCAACGCGTAATTAATTTTCGAGAATCTATTTTTTCGGGATTTCGTGGTAAGATGTCTCGGTTGCGTAAAGATCGCTTATATGTATAATATCTACCAAGACTTTTTACTTTAATACTTCAAGACTAATGCTTACAAATGATAAAATATCAAACTACATATTCATTTTTAATAATTGGCTCACTTAGACGGAAACCACGAATAATGTCCTTCATAAAATAAATTACATAGTAAATATTATGTAATAATAATTATTAATATTCAAAGATATCCAATGATTTCAATTGCATATAAGCACAATTAGATGCAATGTTAGTTAGTAGAACTTTTAAGCTGATATTGTTTAGTTTTCTATACCAAATTTATGATTCTTGGACATTGGCCTGCGAAATTCTTGGATAATCTTAATAAACCTAATTACAAGTCACAAACTAATCTATGTATTTATTCAGTCAATTAAATAGAGTTTTTTCTTTTATTAATTACACAAATATTAAATGTAATCATAAATACTTTTTTAATAATTAATTTTATAATAAACTAATACTGGCAGATCTCACTCTATAAAAGAAAAATTAACCCTCTTTTACAATAAATTCCTAGTGACAAATGACGTTTTCTTCTTAAAATTTTAAAATATCCCCTCATACTTTTTTTTAAATCTTCTTCGTTTCTTGCGAATTGGTTTATTTTCATTACGTGAGAATCTTCTTTTCCAATCACCATTCAAAAAACTTATTGATGGAATATTTTCAACAATCCAACGACATTGTCCGTACTCAATTATGTTTGTATTGCTAGCATTAGATCCCTTACTACAGATTGATGTTGTAGGAGAATTACTATCATATATCGGCCCTGATATTGACTTAACATTACTAGTCTCTAATTGAATTATATCGGGTTCTTTCGATCTAATATTATCATTAGACTCATTCATATTCATTAATGGATTAATCTTTTCTAGTTCTTTTGAATGTAAATTAGCTACTTTAGAAGTCCAATCCAATTCACCATCGAATAATGCGGCTTGTTCATTCTTATTTTCGACTTTGACAGCATCTACAATCTCACACGAATTTTTATTATTGCATAAATCTTTGGTCACGTCGGTCTTGATTGAAACCATGCTTTCAGTTGCTAATGGCTGAATACCATCAGAAACTTTACCATTTAATGAAACATTATTAAATTGTTTTTTGGTGACGTGTTTGATGGTATTACACGGTGATTTATTGATTTTCATTTCAGATTTTGATAATATAGTAGCAGTTGATGGAGTATTTTCCTTGGTATAAAAAAGGATGTATGGTTTATCTCTAAGAGTAGTTTCTAAAAGAACCTATAGTAAAAAATAAATGAGATAATCCAATAAATTACTAAAAAAAAAGGTAATAGTCATATAATATAAAACTAAAGATATCTTTCATACATTTGTCGTCACGCTATCATTAAATTTAACCCAGCCAGAGGCAGTTTTGGCATAAGCGTAATAATGACCGCTTCGTGGTGAACTTCCAACGTGAATAATTGATGCAGAAAGTCGGTATCTTGCGTCTTCTCCCGGATGCACACAAAATTCAGACATATCCAAAATTTCGTTATAACTCATATGACTGTTAACTTTGATACAACGTTGTAAGCCTCGATCGTATCGGAAACGCTTCACTTGAATGATCAAAATTTCAGGTAAACGAGTTAAATTGCATTTTTGTGTGCAAGTATTATTATTACATCTAAAAAATACAAATTCAAATATAATAGTAATATTAGATTTATTATATAAAGAAATAAACATGAGATTTCTAAATTCCTAAATTTTACTTGTCGCATTTGTAATCATTAAGTGGATAAGGACCGGCCCAATCTCGAACACTGCCTATAAGCATTTTTCCTAATCCAACTTGAATAGCTTGCTCCTGTTTGTAAGTTATAGACTTATGCGAACATGTTGTGCAAATGACCTGAATAATTATTATAAAGAAATTCTAATTCATAAAAAATGATAGAATTCTTAAAGTAGGGAAATTTAAAATATTATGACAAACCTCATTACGCCAGGTTGTTTTAAATACCCTATCAAAAAAAGCAGCTGTAGATTGTAAAGAATTGCAACAGCGTTCAATTTGATTGGAGATTAATCCACAGAGGAATAGAAAAGCGTCATTTTGATGGTAAAAATCCGCACATGGGTCAATAGCTAAGAAAATTAAAATTTAAAGAATTAATAAGATTCATTTTTCAATTTAATATCTAAATCAAAATCATTTTACCTTTAAGATTACGATGCAAATCCCTATTTCTTATCATATATCTTGCTTTTAATGCACACATTCGTAAAATAGACAACTCTCTTAATCCACAGAAACCAGAACACGTACCTAAACCACAATAAAGATCAATGTTAGTTGGATTATTTAGGTTCAAGACATAAATGATATTGTCTAGTAAAAAAAAAAAAAGACATACATCTTAAATTACGCTCTAAAAAATTTGCAAACGGTTGGGTGTGCATAAGACATTGTAATGTAGAATTAATAAAACAATCCACGCCAGTATTATTACATAAACCAACACCTTTCGATGGTAGTGGTAAAGGAATAACCGAGTTCGCTTGAGAACAAGAATTACGATTTATTCGAGTATGTAAAGATGACCGGTGATAAAATTTCGAATTATTGTATTTATTAGACTTCATGATGAATTCTAAGATAAAATTTTCAAATCAAATTTCATTAAAAAAAAACAAGATTAACATATA